GGCCATGAAACTTACTTATCGGCAAGCCAGATGTCTCGGCCATAAAACTTACTTATCGGCGAGTTGGAATTCTTGACCGGTACGCGACCTGCCTGAGAGACTTCATGGCTCCTGACTTTTATTTTTTTTTCACTATCCTGTAGCCTAACCTGAGAATGGCTCAGCCTACTGCACTGGTGCTTTATGGGTTAGGATACAGTTGAAGTGGGTGGCTTCTCCTTCAGTCTGAATGGAACATCACAGGAAGACCCAAGGGCACCAGACTGTCTAGTTCAGTAGCTTTGTTCCACCTTTCACCCTCCCTCTACCCTGTCAGCACTGGAGTTAGACAGCAGCACCTGTGTACTGGGGATCTGAACTCAGGTCTTCATGCGTGTATGGCAAGCCATCTCCCCAGTTCCTGGAACATACATTCTTCTAAACAGCCAGAAGAAGGTATTATAATACCTGCTTGCTTAGGTATTATACTTTTAAATCCTAGTATAGGATCTGGTACTTCTGGATACTTGGCTGTCTGGCTTTCTATTTAGCTGTCCCCTGAGACTGTTTTTATTTTGTTTTTTGAGACAGGGTCTCCCTATAGTTTTGGCTGGCCTTAAACTCACAGAGATTCTTCTCTGTCTCTGAGTGCTGGGATTAAAGGCCTGTGCCACCACACCCAATTTATGTTGCCATCTTTGTCTATAATATAGTCAAGCTTGGTGGTACATGCCTTTAATCTCAGGCAGATCTCTGTGAGTTCCAGGCCAGTCAACGTTATAAAGTGAGACCCTGTCTCAAAAAAAAAAAAAATTGGCTAAGGGCTTTGCTCAATCCAGAGTACTACAATACTATGGCTACTACTATAAGCGCTACTGTTTTTTGTTTTTTTTTAAATTTTTTTATTTATTATTATTTTTTATGTGTATGAGTGTTATGACTGCATGTAAGCAAGTGCACCCATGTCGTGCAATGCCCTCAGAAGACAGAAGAGGCTGTCAGATCCCCTGGAACTGGAGTTACTGACAGTTAGCTGCCATGTGGGTGCTGGGATTTGAACCTGGGTCTTCTGAAAGAACAGTCAGTGTTCTTAACTGCTGAGCCACTTTCCAGCCCCAACGCGCTACTGTTTTATATAAGGCCTAAGGGCATAAGAATATTCCAAGCCTGTCCACCCAGTATAAGCTGGTTTCTCAACTTCAGGGTATTAAAACAAATTTTTGTTGTTTTATGTGTCTGAGTGTTATATATGCATGTATGTAAGTGCACCTGCATCATGCAGTGCCACACACTGATTTGAACTTGGGTCTTCCGTGAGAGCAGCCAGTGCTCTTAACTGCTGAGCCATCTCTCCAGTCCCAGGGTATGTATGTGTATGTATATATATTTTTAATTTTTTTATGTGTATGAGTGTATCATTTGCATGCAAGTATACCCATGTCATGCAGTGCTCACAGAAGCCAGAAGAGGGTTCTGATCCCCTGGAATTGGAATTATGGATGGTTGTTAGCCACCATGTAGGTGCTAGGAATCCAATCCAGGTCCACTTGAAAAAGCAGTCAATACTCTTATTCGTGAGTCATCTCCAGTCTTACCTCAGGGTATATATACATATTTTTAAAATATTTTTTATTTTTATATATATGAGTGTATTGCCTACATGCATATAAGTGCACCCGTGCCATGCATTGCTCATGGGAGTTTCAGACAGTTGTTAACTGCCGTGTAGGTGTTGGGAATTGAACCCAGGTCCTCTGCAAGAGCGGTCAGTGTTCTTAACTGCTGAGCCATCTCTCCAGCCCCCTCAGGGTATATTTTTAATCTTTGTTTTGTTTGGTTTTTTGAGGCATGATCTTATCTCTAGCCCAGGTTGGCCTGAAACTCACTATGTAGCCCAGGCTGGCCTAAACTCATAAGACTCCTGCCTTAGCCTCATAAGTGCTGGGTCCTTCTAGATTTTTATTTATTTGCAACAGCATTGTATAGCTCAGGCTGGCTAAAAACTGTCTTACATACATGCAGGCAAAACATTCATACACATTAAATAAATATTTTTAAAAAAAGAAGAAACATGCTGGGCATAGTGGCTCACACCTTTAATCTCAGCACTTGGGAGACAGAGGCAGATGGATCTCCAGTTTGAGTTCAGCTTGGTCTACATAGGAAGTTCCAGGCCAGCTGGGGTTACATAGTAAGTCCCTGTCTCAAAAATGAAAACAAAAACTACCACTCACAGGAAGGTAGAGAATATATAGCTCAGTGGCAGAGCACTTGCCCAGCATTCACTGGTCCCTGGGTTAGATTCCTAGCACCACATACATACTAAAAGACTCACAGGAATTCTGATAACACAGGTAGAAGGGGACCCATGTGGGAGCATACAGTTCTATTTGCATCATCTCAAAGGGGACTCTAGAACTGAAGCTAGGCATGGTGGCACACGTCCAGAATCCTAGCTCTTGGAAAGCTGAGGCAGAGAGGTGAATCAGGAATTTGAGGATAGCCTCTGCTACATAGTGAGACCTGGTCTCAAAAAGAAACAAAAATATCCTAGCCCTCAGGAGGCAGAGGCAGGCAGATCTCTGTGAGTTCAAGGCCATCCTGTTCTACATAACAAGTTCCAGCTGGGACTTCAGGGAGACCTTGTCTCAAAAAGAAACAAAAATAAGATGGGCAGTGGGGCATAGTGGCCCACACCTGTAGAAGGATCAAGACTTGCAGGCTAGCCAGGCTGTAATCTCAGCACTCTGGAAACTGAGCCAGAATCGCTGGGCGTTGGAGGTCACCTTGAGCTACACAGCAAACTTTTTGTCTCAAAACAGAAAGGCCTGGGGAGGTGGCTTAGTTTTAAGACTCTTTACCTAACGTGAATGAGACCCTAGGTTGACTCTTTCCTAAACACACACATAACACATACACAAAATAAAAAAGGCAGTTCAGCCGGGCGTGGTGGTGCACACCTTTAATCCCAACACTCAGGAGACAGAGGCAGGCAGAAAAAAGAAGTTCAAGGTCGCCTGAAACCCTGTGTCAAAAAACATACATAAACTGAGGGAAAGAGTTCTGATGAATTGGGGAGAAAGGAAGGGAGCCAGAGCAGGTGGTGAGGGCTCTTAGTAACCTGGGCAGGAAACTGTTTAGGACCAGGGGAATTGTTTTTGAGTTGGTTCAGTCCTTAAAGCCATCAGTTGGGCACATGATCTTGGGCCCACATCATGGATTGATTGATACTACCAATGCCTCTGGCCTTGTGTTCCTAAGCAAAAGCTGAACCTAGGTGCTGCTGAGTCCCCTGGCCACAGCATTAAGAAATGGCTCCAGGTGCATCTTGAGATAATTGACAGCAACAGAACAGAGGAAGGGATGGGACCTAAGCTGCAGCAGCTGGCCTCGAAGATGTGCCCTATCCTAGGCCTGAATGTGCAAATGCTAGGCACTACATCTTCAGAAAGAGTTAAACTGTAAACACTTCTATCACTGTTTCGCTTTGTTTTTCTTGCTCTGTAGCTCAGTCCTCTCAAGGACTCCAAAGTGCCCTGCCCACCCCTTTTCACTCTGAATTCACAGACAGCCTGCATAACTTAAAAACACTGGGTAGTAATATAGAAAGACATAGCTAAGTGATGAGAAATTGTAACATCATACAAGTCTTCTGTAACTGCAAAACACACTTATGTGGGTCTAACACGGGAAAGAGCTCTAGTGTCTCAGTTCTGAGTTGGGCACATGGTCATTTCCGCCTCCAGCAAAGTCTCAGAAAGAGGAAGTTGGGGTGAGGTAGTCAGCACTTGCCCAAGTTTTTCTCTTTTGGGAGGACTCTTATAACAAGGCCCCACGACCTCCTTTAAGCTGACTAAAGCAACGACAAGAACCAGTGGATTGATTCCACATGATGCAGTCAAGAGCACAAGTTTTAGAGTTGGGAATTAGGTTCCTACCCCTATGACAATGAAGTTGATATAGACACAGGATGCACAGTTCTGTGACACTCAGCACTTTATTAGTGGTGAAAAAAGGCTTCTCAGGGATGGACTGGACCAGTGCCCATCTGAGGGGGTTTTCCTGGAAATCAGGTGTTCCTCCATGCAAGTTTAGTGGAAACACCATCATGGACGAAACCCCCCAGAGTGCAACCAGCCACTGCCAAGCCCGGATAAAAGAAGCGCCTTAGGGACTGCTGGGCTGCTGAGCCAGCAGGGCTTCTATGTCAGGCTCGATGTCGATGGTCCGAAAGCGGCGGCTGTACCTACGCACCGGAATACCGTCAGGCCCAACAAGGAACTTCTCAAAGTTCCAGGCAATGTCGTTGCGGCACACTGGAGACCAAATGATGGATTTAGGGTCGTTCATGAGCGCAGTGGGGTCGTCACTGGGCACTGGCAAGGCCTCCCGTAGGAAGGCAAAGAGCGGGTGAGCCTTCGCACCATTCACCTCGCACTTCTCGAACAGTGTGAAATTGGGCTCGAACCCGCCACCAGGTCGGATATACTTGAGCGAATTCAGAATCTCTTCGTTCTTGGCATTCTCCTATGGGAGACAAAGGCATTTTCGCCCTAGGACTGCGGAAAACGGGGGCCTGCTAACCACAAACCAGTTTCCTGATGAGTCACCAGGATGTTGCCCTCCTTGCAAAACCCCAGGGCGGGTCTGAATTCCAGCTGCGGCCAGCAGCGGAGGGAAGCGAGTGGGCGGCCCGCCCCCCACCCCCAAGCTCGCCCACCTCCACCCCGTTGCACCCAGCACACCTGGTGTCCAAACTGGTTGCACGGGAAACCGAGCACCACCAGGCCGCGGGGCCCGAGGCGCCTCTGCAGGTCGTTCATTTCGGTGTAATCCCGGGTGGTGGTGCCTCAGAGCGACGCCACATTCTCAATGAGTAGCACCTTGCCCCGGAAGGAGCCCAGGCTCACCGGCTCCCCGCCGACCAGCGGGTGCGCGGAGAAGGCGTACACGGTGGCCCGTCCCGCCGTGGAGAGCCGAGCAGCACACATGGCGGAGCAGGGGTGGACTGGAGGCAAAAGCCAGACCAAAGCGCCGCAGCTCGAAAAGCGCTGCCTTTTAGCTAGGCAGTGGAGGGGTCACGTGGAGCCTTTTTTCCGGCCTCTCGGCTCCCTCCCGGCACAAGGGTCCCGCCTCATCCGGCCTGCACCCTCCCCGATAGGAGATGAGCGGGTGCGGCGGGGCACGTCTGGTCCGGCCCAGGCAACCCAGCGCAGGGTGAGAGGACGCCCTGGTTCCTGCCAAGGAATCTGGGGACAACAGCAGATGCGGCTGGCGCACAGCCCTAATTACAGCGTCACATGACCCTCAAAGTACTTGCAAGTTTATTACCAGGACAGGGTTAAAATCTTTTAAAATTACATTTATTGTGTACATGTATTCACTAGCCAACTTTGGGGAGTCGATTCTCCTTCCACCATAAGGGACCAGGGGATTGAACTCAGTCATCGGGCTTGGTCGTTACCCACTGAACCATCTCTCCAGCCGACCAAATATGTGGTGTTCTTACCTGAAGTGGAAGTGCCACTTCCAGCGCTTGTCAAGGGTGAGTTCTCTTGGCTTTGTGTTTTCAGTACAGGGAAATTGGAGTCGGCAGTGATGGAGGCTCCAAGGCAGCCTTTTCAGGGATCTGCACTCCGGGGCTGCCAGATCACCAAACCAGAAAGCCTCTGATCTTTTTTTTTTTCCCTTGGTCTTTGTGAGACAGGGTTTCCCTGTAGCCCCAGCTGGCCTGGAACTCGCTTTGTAGACCAGGGATTTTCCTATTTTTATTTTATGCATTATGAGTATTGCCTGCACCATGTGCAATGTGTAATGCCCAGTGTGCACACTGTGTACACCATGTGTGCAGTGCCTGTGGTGGTCAGAAGAGGTGGCGGATCCCCTGGAACTGGAACCACAGACCCTTACCAAACCCTGGTCTTCTGCAAGAGCATCCAGTACTCTTAACTGCTAAGCCATCTCTCCAGCCTCCTGATCTTTTATTCTTAGACCGTGCTCCACTTTTCTGAAGTATGGCCCACCACCCATCTTACCAGGGAGCAGAAAATTCAACCCTCAGTGTTTCATCTCACTAGACTGCATTCCCATCCAACTGCTTTTCTGGATTTGAAAGTGGCATAGGACAATAATCATTTCCTTGTTCTTGGGAGGAGCCAAGTTAGCCTAGATGACTGTGGTGGAGACAGAAGCTGGTAGACTGCACCATGAAAGAACCTCTCTAGAGTGAGGTAGGCCAGGAGGGCGGAGTCCTTCCATTTTCCTACCCTTAGCCCTTTGAAAGCAAAACACACACCAGGATACAGGAAGTTTAGAAAACTGCCTTTATTCTATTAGTTGGAAAAATTAACTGGTACAGAAAAAGTTTAGTCAGCTGGACAGAAGAGAAAACCCCCAGTGCCACCCCCAGGAACTGGTGGCTCCTCTGGGAGGTAATTTGATACAGTGTGAAGGAAGGAGCACTAAGACTTAGAGCCAGACCCCGCAGTCCAGCTGAGAAAGGCTATTTACCACCTTCAAGTTTCTAATTTGCCTCAGGCGTAAAACCAAATTCCTATTTACTTAGCCCAGCTCTGGAAAGGGGTTACGAGGATATGTAGGGCTTAACAGGGGAAGATATGGCCGTATTTTATCAGAGAAACTGACAAAACAGGAATTTTAAAAATGAATTTTCCATCTGACTTTATTTCCAAATACACTTTTTCTTTAAAAAAAAAAACAAAAAAAACAAAAAAAAAACCAATACACTTTTTGTGGGAATGACAAATATCAGTATTAGGAAATCCAATTATACAAAAAATACTACATCTAGTCTGGGGTAGATATATTTATTTTTGGTAACATACATTAAGTGGCACTAATTACACAGTAACTATAAGGTAACTAACATGAAACCACAGAACTGTAACTCTGCCACAGCTGCCTGGACTTAGGCCTTTCTGGCTGAGCATGTTTTCAAAAACTGGATGACCATCCCAGAGCTCTGCCAATTAAATTTATTAAGGAGTAAAGCTCTGAAGTAATGACTCAGAGTTCCTTGCAGCTGACAGATGAGCGGCAGGACATGTTAGTTATAAAGTAGTTACAGCCTAATTCACAAAAGTTACCAACTGTTTCTCTTTCTAGAAAGAAGCAAGAAGAAATTCTTTGAATTAGCGCCTGGTGTGTCAGGTGGAGTGCAGAGAGGGCTGTTAGAGCAGTGTCAGAAGGACCCTGGCAGGTCAGACAGGTTGGACATCATTAATAATCATGGTTGGCTTCTAAATACTGGTAGCAAGATGACTTCTGATTTGTAATCTTAGGTAAATTAGAGATAAATGAAAAAGGCCAGTAATCATACACTAAGATTAATAAACAGCACTTCAAAATTAACCGCATGAGGGCTGTGCTTGCAGCAAGGTTTCACAAGACAAGGCACCCAGATTTTTTCTTCCCACGTCTGGCTTGCAGAGCAGCTCTCGTGGCCATTTCAAAAACCTCCCTCACTCCATCTTTGGTCTTTGCTGAACACTCCATGTACCCAAAAGCGCCAATCCTGTTCGCCATATCTCTGCCTTCTTCAGGTTTTACCGGCTCCTAGTAAAGAGAAAAATAGTGCTTTCAGCTAAATCTCACTTACGTAAGGCATGCAGTATTTAAATTCATCTAAAAGACTTTTATCCTCTTTGAGACAGGTTCTCACTATGTTGCTTACCTAAGCTGGCCTCAAGTGATTCTCCCCTCAAGTGATTCTCCCACCTAAACCTCCTAAATAGCTAGGACTACAAGTATTGCTGGCTGAAAAGACCAAACTTCCTGTACAAGAGGGATGAATAGTCAAGAATGGCAACAGTACAGGTCCATGCCATTCCTCCTCACTGGAAAAACCCTATTAGACCACCTCGCATCTCAGAAGCCAAGATCTATTTATTACAAAAGCATTCAGATTTTCTGTCTGCACTTGCTGCCTTTAGGATTTCTTGATCCTCAAAATTAATCCACAAATTAATCTTCAATGGCCACTGGAGGGGGAAATCAGGTGTCTGATAAAACTTCTGCATCTGACGTACTGACTACTGCTAGGGTGGTTCTGTCTCAGGTTGGGATTGCTCAGAAACACAGTCTAAAATTTAGACATTCTACCTTGGCATGCTACAGAGAGCCTTAGGATTCCCTGTTTAGGTCCCAGTAAATTAAGTCCAGGTGGACAGAGAAGGACTTCATCTGGGCTGTGTTTCTGCTGGGTGACAACTTTAAGAATACTATAGGAAAACAACACTCTCCTTCCCATGCCACACCTGCTTCATCTTGGCTAACTCCCGTCTTGTGTGTTCATCATTCCGAAGATCCTTCTTGTTCCCAACCAGGATGATGGGCACGTTGGGACAAAAATGCTTGACTTCTGGAGTCCATTTTTCAGGGATGTTTTCTAAATGGGAAAAAATGCACCAAGTCTGAGGATACATTGTAAATACATCTTGAAGAACCTCTAGAACCCTAGTTGAATTGCAGAGACATTTCCTTTTCCTGTTGCTTCAAAACCATTTTGGAAGCTGGTGAGATGACTCAGCAGAGAAAGGCACCTTTCACCAAATCTGATAACCTGAATCTGAACACTGGGATCCATGGGTTAGAAGGAAAGAACCAATACCTACAGGTTTTCCTTGACCTTGCCTATGTGCACGCACACACAGACAATAAATAAAAAAGCATGTTGGACCATGTAATGAAATTCTTTACTTTAAAACTAGATAAAAAGGCAAAAATCTAACTTGCATTCTATAAACGCCAAATGGTACCAGCTTCTCTTAGTCCCATAAAGAGTGCTGCTGAGCTTCTCAGGTGGCACCAAGTAAGGTTGCTCTGGGTCTTGTGCCACAAAGAAAGGATCACCACAGGCCATGCTTGTCACTGTTGGCAGATGACAGGAAAGCACCCCACATAATCTCCATCCTATGGTTTACTGGTATTACAAATGGCTCAAGAATTACTTCAGAAATAACCAAGAAATAACCAGTTGTAGTTTCATGCCAACACTACCATACTAACTTAGTGTATAATGTCACATCCTGATGGATAAGGGGCCCACGTTTAACTTCTCATGCTGCCTTATCTCTCAGTGGCAGAAAAAAATTGAGACAAGGTTTTGAAACTTTTGATTCTAGGGGACAAAAGGATCCCAAAGAGGATCCCAAAGAAGTATAGTGACCTGATCTTGAAAGTAATAAAGACAAAAGGCTCCACTTGACATTTTATGTGGGTGCTGGGGATTCAAACTCCAATCCTCATGCTTGAACAGCAAGGACTTTATTGACTGAAACTTCAGTACTCCTATGGATGCTTTTGAGGTAAGTAGCTTTGGCAAAGTTAAAATACAGGAGGAAAAGCGAAAATATTTAATACTTTTTTTTTTTTTTTCCTTGGTCTTTTTGAGACCGGGTCTCCCTGTAGCCCTAGCTGGCCTGGAACTCACTATGTAGACCAGGCTGGCCTTGAACTCACAGAGATCCACCTGCCTCTGCCTGCCAAGTGCTGGACTACAGGCGTGCACAACCACACCCGGCTTATAGTTACTACTTTTTACATAAAATTGCTGGTACTCATCGGCAGAGCATGTTCTTGGCACCTGCAAAGCCCTGAATTAAATTCCTAGCATTGCCCCCCGCCCCCAAAGAAAAGTCCTCTGGTCACTACATTGCTAATGGGGGTTCAACCAGGGACCTAATGTACATTAGACAAGTCCACTACCACAGACCTTCCACCCCATGATCCTGGCTTTTTAAATTCACTTTAACCTTTAAACTTTCACAGTATAATCAGCCAGGTTCCATGATAGGGGCTAATTCCCAACATTTCTTATGTAAAGTAAAATTTCAGATATTGCTTTAACAGGCTTAGCTGTTTAAAAGGTTATTCCTGAGCTGGGCATGGTGGCGCACGCCTTTAATCCCAACATTCGGGAGGCAGAGGCAGAGGCAGAGGCAGGCGGATCTCTGTGAGTTTGAGGCCAGCCTGGTCTACATAGTGAGTTCCAGGACAGCTGGGGCTACAGGAAGACCCTGTCTCAAAAAGACCCCGCCCCCCCCCCCCAAAAAAAAAGAAAGAAAAAAAGAAAGGATCTTGCCAGGCGCGGTGGCGTGCCTTTAGTCCCAACATTCAGGAGGCAGAGGCAGGCAGATCCTCTGTGAGTTCAAGGCCAACCTGGTCTACAGAGTGAGTTCCAGGCCAGCTGGAGCTACAGGGAGACCCTGTCTCAAAAAAAGACCAAAACAAACAAACAAACAAACAAAAAAAAAACAAAGAAAGGATCTAACCATGTCATTCTGGCTAGCCTGGAACTCATTATGTACACCAGGTTGCCTCAAACTTGCTAATCTTCCTATCTCTGTCTCCCAAGTGCTGAGATTACAGGCATGACCACCCTTGCCCAGCTAACCTTTTTTTTTCCTTGAAGCTGGATTTCAGATTTTCCAGGATGATGTCTAACTAGCTACATAGCTGAGAATCATCTTGAACTTCTCTCATCCTCCTGGCTCTATATCTTGAGTGCAATTTGGTCTACATAGTGAGTTCAAGGCCAGCCACTAATTTATAGTAAGACCCTGACTCAACTCCCTCCAAAATAACCTGAGTAAACCACTGGCACAAAGAGTGCCTACTTTCTCTTAGTCCTAAAAAGTATCACACAGGATCAACCTCTGTTCATCTCCTTGGTGTTTAGTTAGCTTTTAATTATTTTATTTCATGTATATGTGTGTGTTATACGCATTCATGTTAAGTGTATCATACGATGCCCACAGAGACCAGGAGAGGGTCTCAGATCCTCTGGAACTAGAATCACAGAAGGTTGTTAGCTGCCACTAAGTAGACTCAGTGAGTTTAAAAACGACACAAGAGGGGCTGGAGAGATGGCTCAGCGGTTAAGAGCACTCTTGCAGAGGACCAAGTTTGATTCCCAGCACCCACATACATGGCAGCTACGAACCATCCTTAACTCCAGTTCCAGGGGGAACCCAAAGCCCTCTTCTGACCTCTGAGGCACAGCACGACATGGACGAACTCACATACATGCAGACAATACACTCATACACATAAAATAAAAATAATAAACTATTAAAAAAAAAACAGCACAAAAAGCTAAGAGGGAAAGTATAAGTGGGGCAGAGGAAGAATTAAAAGGGAGGGAATGGGAAGTGGATATAATCAGAACACATATGCATGCATGAAATTTTGTAAATGTATAAACAGAATAAATAACAGTACTGAAGAGGTAGGAGTGATTGCCAGTAATTCCAGCACTTGACAAATAGAAGTAGGAGGATCAGGACTTCAAGGTCATCCTCAATTATGCGACCAGTCTCAAAACAACCATCACAGTCAAAACAGAACAAGAACAAAAGTACTGAAAATAAAATTACTCCTGTAATCTTAGTAGGATCACCACAAATTTGAGCTCAACCTGATCTACATAAGGTCCAGGAGGCCATCTAGGACTGTGAAGTAAGACCTCACCTCAGAAAGACCAAAAACAAAATAGTGCACACTTGCAATCTCATTAATTGGGAGGCTGAGGAAGGAGACTGCCATGAGTTTAAGGCCAAGCTGGGCTACACAGAAAGCAGCAGAGAAACAGCTTCATAAAGAGATACTGTCTTAAAAAACAATAATGTGCCAGGTGAGGTTGCGCACGCCTTTAATCCAAGCACTTGGGGAGGCAGAGGCAGGCAAATCTTTGTGAGTTCGAGGCAAGCCTGGTCTACATAGTGAGTTCCAGGACAGCTGGGGCTACAAGGAGACCCTGTCTCAAAAAGACAAAAAAATAAATAAAACAAACATCAATGAAGCTGGGCATGGGAGATCACACCTTTAATCCCAGCACTCAGGAAGCAAAGTCAAGTGGATCTCTGAGTTTGAAGCCAACCTAGTCTACTTAGCAAGTTCCAGGATAGCTGAGACTACAACCTGATCCCCTCCCTTGGAAAAAAAACTAAAGAGAAATAGTAAATTTCCAGTCTAGATGTTAAAAGACAACAGGATAAGGGCTGGAAAGATGGCTCAGCAGTCAAGAGCATTGGCTATTCTTGTAGAGGACCCAAGTTTGGTTCCTAACACCCAAACAAAGGTTAACACCCATCCTTAATTCTAGTTCCAGGGAATCCAACAGGTACCAGACATACACAGAGTGCACTTACATACATGCAGGCAAAACACTTATACACATAAAAACTTTTTTTTAAAAAAGATAGCATTGTATCTGGAACCCAGTTACTATACAAATTAGACATATTAAAAAAAATTTCCTTACATTTAGTGTGTGTGTTGTCAGATGACAATTTACAGGAGTTGGTTCTCTGCTTCCACCATGGGTTTTCGAAAAGCACAGCTGTGCCACCTCACCAGCCCAAGTTAAATATATTTAAAACATAGTAAGGCTAGTAGGAACAGTAGAGACTTACCTAGCATGTGTGAGGCCCTGAGATTCAATCTCTAGCACCATGAAGAAAAGCCAATTCTTTTAATTACATTTTAATTAATTATGTATATGTATATGGGTGTGCATGTGGAACAGCAGGCATGTGGAAGTCAGAGAACAATGTTTAGGAGTTGGTTCTTTCTTTCTACCATATGGATCCTGGGGATTGAATTAAGGCTACCAGGCTTGGTAGCAAATACCTTTGCCTGCTAATCTATCTCTCACTAGTCTCCACAGTGAAAATAA